TCGTAAAAGCGCTGCGCAAGTCCGCTGCTTCAGGCGCCGGATCCTCCCTCGACGACCCCAGCGCCATTGTTGTCATCGCCGCCGATATCTCGCCCATGGACGTCATTGCGCATATCCCCGTTCTCTGCGAAGACCACAACGTACCCTACATCTACATCAAGAGCCGCGCGCAGCTCGGCGAGGCAAGCGCAACGAAGCGACCCACTAGTGTGGTCATGATCGGCAAGGACAGGATGGGCAAGAAGGCCGGCGAGGGTGACGAGGAGTTCACCGAGGCATACGGAGAGCTGGTCAAGGTTGTTGGCAAGGCTGCTAAGACAGTCAAGAAGTGAGAGCAATGCGACAAGTGGAGAAGAAGGTGATCGACCGTGTGTCGAGTGTATTGTTCAAAAGGGAAATGAGGAGTCTGGCGTTTTTCACCCATGGTTGGCTGATCAGTCCTCCTAGTGTTACTGTTTCAATTCTAGGCATCGAGCTAGGCTTGCAATATACCTCTACAAAACTTCACGCGCTCATGCCAACGGACAGTTTGCTCACGCGTCGCCTGCTGAACCAGCTACATTCACGGGTCTCACTCATGAGGCCTACACAAGACACTGAACGGAGCCCTCTGAAGAACGCCTGCAATTCGAGGTGCGATTCGATAAAAGAATGTCGGGTTTATGTACATATCAAGACAACCAAGTATAAACACGAAGAGAACTCGTTCACCACCCGCCCGCAGTTGACATTGTCAGTCGCAAGTTCAGAACCAAGGCCCTAGAGCCCATAGTCGTCCAATCCTCTGCATTCGAGCACAGAGCTCTGACAACAGCGCCTAGTTAGCAGCAGTCCACAGCGCCGGACCAGGGAACGTGTAAGTCGTAGGATTGGTGTAGATGTTGAACACGATACCCGGCATGTCCTTTGTGTACAAGCTGGTACCAGGAACGCCAGCCGTCGGTGCAACAGAGCCGCTACCACCGACCTTGAGGTTCAAGCCTACAGCAATACTTAGCATATGATCTTTTTACATCGAAAGCAGCCTGGAAGATGAGTGACCTACACTGGGGGTACAACTGCGCGCCATTCACGTTCTGCCCACCGTGAAGAGCAATGATCTCATGACGGATAACGTAGTTGCCAGGAGCAAGTTTGGCGGGAAGAACAGTGGAGACCTTGAACTTGTTCTTGATGAGCGTGTCTGTAACCCAAGTTCCAGGGCTGACGATGGCAGATTGAGAGATCTTGGACCAGCGGAGAGCACTGGGGGTTAGAGTGGTGCAATCGCCTGCATGAAATAAGTGATTAGTAAGAGTGCGCGCTGGACTGGTTTAAACAGATGGCATACCGTTGCAAGGCGCGATGTAGTTGATGATCGGGCCCTTATGACTATCAGGCCAAGTGTTCCACTCAAACTCAATGGTATCCCCGGCGTTGACGTTAGCGTAGAGACGTCCTGCAGTGGCACTCTTGTGGCAGTTCACATCTGCTGTGCCGACGGATGCGGGCTCGACGAAACCGATGTCTTGGTTCAATGCGTCCCAGCCTGCGGTTTGGGGGCGGCTGTCTTTGGAGAAGTAGTACCACACGGGGTCGGAACCGTTGGTGAAAGTGCCCTTTACGTTGACACCTTTGACGAAGCCGTGGGCGGATGCTGTGTCGAGAAGGACAGCGATGGCGCCGAGGAGGAGTGCGGATGTGTACATCGTGGAGTGTGTGAGAGAATGGTAGCGAATGTTGTTGCTTTGATGCTGATCCGTTGCACTTGTTTCTACCTACTCTTATATGTCTTCAAAGGTCTTCATCGTCTGTATGGCTTCTCATGATATTCCCAATCAGAGACGGAGCACATCGACCGATCGTGTCAGGTAAGTCAAGGATCACATAGTACTGTTAGATGATTACAAGTCATTGCCTAGGGCTTTGTAGCAGCAACGGGCATAGCCGCTATGGCGAAACATAGCTTGTTGTTCCATGGCCACACACATGCAGCGCGCCGTGTAGCTTCCAAGGCTCTTGATAGCTCAGTGTTCCAATCACAAGCGAAAAAGTTGATATTGTGGTGATATTGAAACGGCATCCGAATGTGGTTGTGGCACACAGCGGCGCGCTTCGCGCGTCCCTGGTTTTCGTCTGGGGTAATCTATTCTCCCCGGGAAGCCGCAAGCGAGCAATCTAAACACTGAAAGAGCAACGAATAGTGATCATATGGCGTACAAATTGAAGTCACACTCGTCACACGGGAGTGTTGTAAGGTTGCGGACGTTGAAGGGAATTTTTCCGTTGGCTCGCTACTGCTACAGCGGAAGGTGCACGTGGCGGGTGGAGTACCTCGTCCATGACAAACTCTAGCCACTTCATCCGTGACAAACTCTCAGTTTTTGCTCGCTACAGGAAGGTCTTACAGAGGTTGTGTGTAGGGATCGATATCCTAGACGCCGACAAAGATGCTGGGTTGTCCAGCCTGACCTGGTCTGCGTCTATCGTAGACTCAAACTTGGGTGCTCGATCAAGCATGTGGCCTTCAGGACTTCTCTGACATGATTTTCCTGTCTCTACCCAAATTGGGTCAGCGTATGTGTGGCGGACGGTATGGTAGCACCTGCGCGATGTCAACACAACCCCTGTGACAGCAGTAGCTTTCAGACATACCATCTCGCCCTTTGGCTTTTGACCCTGTAGCGCTGTCTGCTCTTCGCCAGCCCTCTGGGCCTCGCTCTCCTCTTTGTCGTCCAATTTATGCTCGATCTCAGCCTTCGTTTCCCTGTCGTTCACTTCCTCTTCGCCGCCCATGTCCTCGTCGCTCATCTCGTTCTCTGACCACGCCTTTTCCTCTACCTCCGCGATCTCAAGGTCCTCCTCCACTCCGTCATAGCATGCTCCTATAGCACGAAGCACATCTACCTCGACGTTGGGAAGTGGCACAGTCTCGGGTCGTTGCTCGTCGTTGAGCAAAGCCTCCCTGAAGGTATGCAATTTAGTTTCTGCCTCCGAACAGTATAGAGGAAACTGACCTTATCTCTTCCAAACACTCGCGAAGGTCATCCAGCGTCTGTTTCGCAGCCGGAGTCGGGAAAACACGAAACCATGCCTCCGTAAGACGCCAAAGGGATTCACCCTTGACGTAAAAGGCGTATGCTTCATGAAAATCATCCAAACCACCTGCAAGCATTGTGTAACATCTGATGCGGTAATATCTAGAGATGTCGGAGTCGGCGAGCAAATTGCGCAAAGCATCGTTACACTTCTCAAATTCGTCTTGTTGGAGAAGCTCAACAGCAGCGTTGAAGTCTCTCGTAAGCCGGCGATCTATTTCCTCGAAACTGGCCATCTGGAACGTGCATGGGGTTGATGTGGGGGTTGATGGGAGAAATCGTATCTGCGGGTTGTGATCTGTTGACTCTACCGTGGGTAGCATAGAGATCCAAGGATGGAAGCTCTAGCTGCGCGTGGCAGACAAACGCTCAAGGACCCGGGCCTCTAGGCCCTACGTCATGGTTTGACAATCGAAGGTGAGAGACAGTCAAGAAGCATCCAATTCATACAACGATAGAACGCTTCAACGTATAGGCCTGATCCTCATGAATAATACCACTCAATATGATACACGCGTTTCCAAACTCCATATAGCAGGCCTTGAGGGTGCATGCAAACAATTCGATCACATCAAAGCCGAGACCCCAGTCACCTTGCAACCTCGACATGTACTACCTCCGCATCTTCCGCCTGTGATGCTCGACCAAATCATTCTCCAGCACCATAACAGCGTCGAAATGATTCTCCCCGACAGCCTTCGCAACAAACTTCTCCTCTCCCTTCCCATCCACATATAGGCTCGCCTCCATGGACTCTCCGGCTCTCCTGCTGATGATCAAGAACTCCTTCTCATCCCTGACCCCGAAATCGGGTTCGTATATGGCACGACCTAACAACTCATTAGTATCGTAAAACACCGCCAAACTTGGACAAACGCCAAACTTACCAACAGCCATCTGGCCCGTCCTCGCTAGCCAGGCCATAGCGAGCGCCTCTCGCTTATCCGGCACCCTTTCACCCTTCTGCTCCGCTAGATTTCGTATATCCCGCGCCGTCTCCTCATCTTCCTTGTCTCTCTCCCACTCCAGCTCGCATTTGATTCTTGGTCTGATGTTCAGGCCGCGGTCCATGTCGGAAGAATTCCATGTGAAGTGCTCGTGTTTCCAGTCGTGTGCTGCTGTTCTGAATGAGCGGTGTTCGCGGGTGCGAGCGATCTCTGCGGGGTTGTCGACAGCGCGGATGTGCGTGAGATAGTGACTAGATGAAGAAGGTGGTAGGACTTTGATGGTGATGTGGTATATTGGTGCGATCAAGGCTGCGCCGTGTAGTTGTGCAGGGCTGGTTGGCATGATTGCGCTTCGGGTGTTGGGGACTTTGCGGCGATTGGAGATGTCGGGATCTGCTAGTAGTCAAAAGTAATTGGATTGGTGAGTATTAAAGTCAGAAACTCATAGTAGCCACATAAATAGTCCGCCCAGTCAGTGAATTTCATTTGTACTAGCCGGCTGGTGAAGTGTCGCAAACGCTATGCGAACGCGGCTTCAACAACGCACCAGCTCGCACGATATGCCATGTCTGTTTGACAGCTAAACAAAGCTTCAAGCATCGTGTAGTTTCACATTCCATATCCCACCTCTTGAAGTTGCGAATCGTGGTGCGTGCTGGACAATGATGATTGCGGCGTATAAAGGGTAGAATCACTTTACACGACGCGTCATGTGTATTTAATAAAGCAAGTTCTTAGTCAAGTACTAGACTGTCTGCAAGGTTGCCTATTGCGGAAAGATACGTCCGGCAGTATCTTCTAAAGAAGATAGTCACTGCTCACGGAGTAAAGAGAGTCGTAATGACATGTCGCGTAAAATTGTTCGAAAACGTTCGCCAGTGACGATTCTCAGAACCTACGGGTTATGCCAGTCCCACGCTGAGCCATCATCTGAACGAGTACTCACGCCATTGGGAAAAGCTACATGGCCCAACTCCTAGTATCTGCCGCCGGGTGGGGGTTGGCCATACTGCTGCTGACCTGGGTAACCGCCGGGGCCTCCTTGGGGCGGTCGCTGCTGGCCATACTGACCTGGTGGAGGTGCTTGTTGACCGTAGCCTTGTGGAGGTGCGCCGGGTGGAGCACCGTATCCTTGGGGCGGATGCTGACCAGGGGGAGCACCGTAACCCTGGGGTGGCTGCTGTCCATAGCCTTGCGGCGGCTGTTGGCCATAGCCCTGGGGTGGCTGTTGGCCGTAACCTGGAGGAGGTGCGCCATACTGGCCAGGTGGTGCGCCGTAGCCGCCAGGTGCAGGGTTGCTCTTCTCGTCCTTCGAGTCGTAGCTTCGATCAATGGCACCGAGAAGAAGCTTGATGATCCAAAGATCGGGTGTAAGATCGACAGGAGGGTTTGCGCGCATCATCTCTTCCTGTTCGTTTTCGAAGTCTGATTCTGCGTTAGCATAGGTCTAGTCTGGATCGTATGAGACTTACTGGACGTGCAGTCAACCATAGGGCCAACCTCGGGTTCCTCATCGAGTTGACTGAGGAATTTCCTTGCGGTCACATCGTTTCCTACCTGAGCAAACTCGAAAGCGACAGCACCACGGCCGTAGGGCGTCGACTGGAGCTGTCTGTAAGTCTCCTTGATGACCTTAAAGATCTCGCCGGAAGGCTCTCCCGCTGGCTGCCCATCGGTGATGGCAATGACCAATACTGGCTTTTGCATCTGTCCTGAGCGTGCCTTTGGGAGTACTATCTCCTGGATGACTTTCTTGTCCATAGAGGTACCCATGGGTGTGAGGCCCTTGAAGTTGACGCCACGCATGATCTCTGCGACCTGAGCCTCAGTCGCGACGCCATCTTGAAGAGGTCGACCCTGTTGGTTGCGAGCTCCCGAAAGATCGGTGTTCATGCAGCGGACAGAGATGCCATCGTTGTCAAAGAGAGTTGCAGCGAACGAGACTCGGTCCAAAATAAGGCGCAAATCTGTGATACGGCTACCTTCCTCTTCGAACTGCATGGATCCACTGTCATCTAATGTGTGTCAGCTTGATCACGATTCTCGAGCTGAGCAACTTACCGATGTATAGCACGATGTCGTAAAGCGCTAGCTTTACAATGTCATTGGCAATCTCCTTCTGGATCTTCCAGCGCGAGATGACTTGATTGATCTTCGCGGGCGCTTGTTGAGCAATCTGGTCAATATGTTGGCAGATTGGGAAGTTCTGGAGGCCCTTCTCTTGGATGCAGGCTTGCAGAAGCTGCTTGTAGCCCGCGATCTCAGCTGGTCCGGCCTGAACCTGTTGGGGAGGGGGCGGGCCGCCGCCATATCCTCCTTGTGGTGGAGGTGCGCCATACTGGCCCTGCGGAGGCTGTCCTGGTGGTCCACCCTAATATCACGTTAGTCTCTGCACAAATCTTCGCGGAAAGTCACTAGCTCTGCGCCTTTGCTCATACGTGGGTTTGAAAATCGAAGAAATCTAAATTAGTACGAACATTCGGTTGGAAAGCGGGCTGCTGGCCGTAAGGTTGGCCATATTGCTGCGGCGCCTGTCCGTAAGCGGGTTGCTGTGGTTGGCCCCATTGGCTTTGCTGCTGGTAAGGCTGTTGTGGTGGTTGCTGTCCATACGGCGGCGGGACCTGTGGCTGATTCCATTGCGCGGGGGGCGCTTGACCTGGTTGTGGGGACTGTGGGAATGTCGATTGAGAATACGGAGATGAAGGCTGTTGTCCTGGCGGTGGTGGCGGGGGTCTGCTATACCCTGACTGCCCTTGTGGATATGGTGAAGATGCGCCATATTGGGTGGGAGCTGCCGGTTGCGCAAAAGGCGACTGCGGCGGCGCATACGAACCAGGACGCGGAGGCATAGGAGGACCAGGCTGTTGTTGTTGCGCATAAGGATTTGGCGCCTGCCCGGCGTTGGGCTGATAGGCAGTATAGCTAGATGACATCTTGCTTGATAGAGGCATGTGTGGCTAGGTCCAGGAACGAAGTGTGGCGGAAAAAGTCCAGAGTGGATGCCGGGCGTGCGATAATTTATTGGAGCCAAAAGCAAGTGGAGAACTAGAGAAGAGGCTTGCGAATGCCCAGTCTTAAGTGGCGGGTAGGGAAGGGCGATGACGACGCAGAGCAAGTGACAAGAGAAAGAAACAGCTTTGGGCTTACCCCGGGAGCACCGGCACCTTGGGCACCTGGATACGCTTGATACTGTGGCTGTCCAGGCTACGTTGCATTAGTGAATCATTGCCAACATCACCCTTCACTTGAAGACTTACGTAGCCGCCTTGTCCACCGGGCGGAGGATAGCCAGATGCAGCCTGAGCCGCCTGCATCTTAGATGCGAGCTTCGCCTGGTTAGCTATGACGATGGTGGGGTGGAGGGGTAGCTAAGGAGCTGGCTGATAACATACACCCATCTTGCTATTTGCGTGTAAGGGTTCTGGTGCGTGACAGAGGATTGAGAAAGTCGGACAAGGCTGATTCTTGAGATAGGAATTAACAAGGTTGAGATGGAAGGTCAGGTTATAATGTATGCCTTGCGATGTTGGCAAGAGCCGAAGCTGACGCGCTTACCTGCTAAGCCCCCGCCGGTGCACCGCCCTAGTCACGTATTGGTTAACGCCACATGGCCATTGTTCATTGCACACCAACACCGTGGCTGTTCGTTATGAAATGTGGGAACGCGTGAGGCTGTGCCTTCGGATAAAGTGACGAACGAGCGGGGCATCATCAGGCAACCGGATTTTGTACCAAACATTCTTGAGCCATGTGACGCTGCCGGCCAAAGACCCTGCTGCGCCTCTGCTCCATCTGACTGACCGTTACAAGTACATCTACATTCGTATAGCGCCCGCAGCTTACAAGGCGATTGATGCGCGTGGTGCTCTGAGTTGTGTAGCGTTGTTGCATCTTGACGCGCTCATGTTTAGATCGTTAAAGCACGACAAACGTCCAACTTCTCGACTTATGCCGGTGCATCTTGATACTTCCGCTGCTTCAAGCTGATTTTTCACGGTGTCACTGGCTCAAATTTCTAATTCTGCTTTCTGCTCGACATCTATGGTCTAAGAGTTCAGAGTACGTACATAACCGCGATACTGCCCATTACCTGCCTTCTTTGGTAGTAATTTTAGATCGCTCCAAACTGGTTTCGAAATAGTTTTCTCTGATACCCACACTGATCTCATAGCCGTCAAGCGTCTCAGGCTCGGTGGATCTCTCACCACGCTCTGCTGCGAGCGCAGCTCCCAGGATCGTACCAAGTTGAGCCTCATCTAGCACGTTCACTCGACGGAAGTCCATCAGACTTGGGAGATTGCAATACTTGAAGCGAATATTCTTGCTTGGAGCTGGGTAATGGAGGCTTCCGTAATCCAAGATAAAAGCAATGCCCTGGACTTCGTATCTTGTCTCAGGTGGGGTGCGGTGGTAGTCTTTGTATACCTCTAACACCAGGGCGTTGTGTAAATGCGTTGCGCCGGCGAAGACTGCAAGTCTTGTGCCCTCGGCCGAGATTTTCTCACCCGAAAGATACGTTATGGGATGAGTGGCCTCACGAGTATCGCCTTTCTCAGCGACTTGCTGCATCGAGGCCCAGCATCCTTGTGTATTCTTGCTGATCGCGCAAGACATTATGTCTGCTATACTGCCATGACCTGTTCGATGGGATCTGTTGCGTTCAGTCGCTCGATGCTGCGACTGTTCGGTAAGAGCATTGATAAAGGCTCTTTGAGATAAAGCCACAGCGGCTTCACTGGAAGTTACTAGCCGGCTACCCAACCAGCGATACTTAAAGAAGTCTTTGAACGCACGCATACGTTCCGGTTCTGCGTTGAAAGACTCTACTATTCTTTGGACTTCCGGTGGTAAGGAAAGCTGAACCCCTTTCTTAGTATGATACCAGTACTCGTACCGATACGGAAGATAGAGTACGTCTGTAGCGTTGAGGAATTGCAGTGATGCAGTTATCTCAAGTCCTCGAGCGAGTACAAAGCTGCTATCCCAAGTACCTGGTGCCACCTCAAGCGCGTATCTTGCAATCTCTTCACGATCTAGTGCCAACACACGACGGAACAGGTTGAGAAAGTCCTGCTCTTTCCACAGATCCGGCTCTCCACCTGCACATTAGTTTTGCAGAAGCTTTACAAACAGCTGCTTACTTAACGTGTTGTAATTAGAAACAAGACAATGCGCGGTCTTGTGATCCTGAGATGTAAGACCTAGCAGTGCGTATACTTTATCGTGAATAACGCTGCATCGAGACTTGGAGAATTTCTTGATTAACTACTAGAGTTCGAACTCTAGTGGCTAATTATAACTAGTGCGAAGGGATTAGAATCTCTTAGGGTCTCTATAGGTTTAATATTCTCTCTAAGATATTAGAAGTTTAAGGCCTAGAATATCTAGTTTATTGTAAACGTATATATAGATTACGCGGCCTAGCTTATCTACATTTACCTAGTACTTACCTAGCTAGTGTATTATACTTACAATTTCTCTTATTTATAAGAGTATCTTTTTATTAAAGTTATTAATATTATAAAAGTTATAAGTAGCTTATTTTACTTTATATTATTATAGTACTATAAAATAAAGTAAATAGTAACTAAAAGAAAGAATTATATATAAGTATAAGTTAAAAAAAAAAAATATAAAAAGTAACTACTATAAGTACTACTTCTTAAGTATACTATATACGTATAACTATAGCTTTTAATATACTTACTATTAACTTAGCTACTAAGCTTAGCTTTTATAGTATATTACTACTATCTAATATCTTAATAATACTTTTATTTTTTAAAAAGTTTACTATAGTAAAAAAAAAAATAGTAAAGCTAAAATCTACTTATTACTATTTTATTATTATTTTTAAACTTATTTTTTTTAGAAGTTTTACTACTATACTATTACGTTATATAAGAACTTAAAATACTAAGAAGTACTCTCTTTTTTTTAAAAAAATCTAAAGTATATTATATATACTAAAAATATAAATATAGTATATATAGCTAATATTTTATAAGTAATAACTTAGTAGCTAAGAACTTCTTAATTACTAAAAGAGTAGTAGTATTAGATTTAGTTTATTAACTTTAGCTACTAAGCTCTTAGCTAATACTTTATAAGTAAGCTATTTTAAACACTATATTTAATAATAAAGTATAATATAAGTAAGTACTAGCTATTTTAGCTAAATATAAAATCTTTATCTAATATTAGTATAAATAAGAAAAGTAAAAAAATATAGTAGAAATAGCTAAGTAGCTATTATAAGTAATAAGTTATTTAGTTAATTATTTAGATTATCTAGTTTATCTAGTGCTAGTATATTAAATATAAAGTTACTTGCCTAGCTAGATTTCTAGAGTTAGTAGTAATATTACTTTCTAAACAACCTACATGCAGCACTAGTATAGCTTCTAGAGAATATTTATTATAGCCTTCTAGGTCTACTACCTACTAGAATAGTAATTAGGTATAAAAGGATACGCTACGGTTTTGTTAGTAGTCGTCTCTTCTAGCTACGCGATAACTAATCTAGCTGTTAAATACAGGTAAAACATCTTAGTAACTTATTAATTTTGCTTCTTAATATTATTTTAGTTTATACCTATATCTGCAAGTTAGCGCTCTTAAAACACTAGTCTCGCTAATCTATACTTATAGATAGCATTAACTTACAAAGTAGCATTCTTATTAGTGTTCTAGAAGCAAAAGCGACGTAGGAAGTCCTAAAGATTCTTTCTAATCTTAATATCTACGCTATTACATTGTATGCTACACTTTCTACTTTCTGGAGACTATGTATATAACAGTGCGTAGTAGAAAAGGTGTTCATGCAGTTCTGCGTAAGAGAGAAAACATCGTATCAGCTCATGCGGCTCTCCAGGACACACCTTGAGCAACCAAATAGAGTTGGTGTTCGGATCAAGAGGTCTATACAGGAATACCGGCATGCCGCCTGTAAGATTATCCAAAGCGGGGCCGACCGGGTGGAATCAGATTGCCTGCGCTCCCTTGACCTGTAACTGAACTTAGGGGGATAGATAAGGATTTCGGCCACCAAGCTTCCATCAAGCTCAGGCTGCGTGAGGCGAGTGTCATCGAGAGAGGGATTTTCGGACGCCGGCGAGGGCAGCACATGTATGAAAAGTAACATCCCATGACTTATGCATATGCTGTGACACAGTGTGTGATTGCCACGTTGTCAGCGAATCCAATGCCGGCCTTATGACGAAGAGTCGCGTCGAATCCTTAGCGAGTGGGCGGATGCAGGTGTGCTCGGGGATGGGCGCTTAGTTGTTTGTACCCGTTTGTAATACACCGAGTGGGTTTCCCAAGTACTGGTTCTGTACTTTAGCTGATAAGTAATAGAGGAATAATTCTTGCATAGCGTTGAGGCATATCGTTCTAAAGCCTGCTGCGCATCTGTGTAGCTGTGCTGAGCGGTAGCCCAGGGGGCGGGCATGCAGTGACGAAAGAAACCGTGTCATGTCTCGGAATACTTGCTGGCTACAATCTTGATTAGACCACCTTTTTGTGTACCTTCCTCATTCATTAAATAACGTTACTGCCAAAAGGTATGTGAAACTAGCAGGATCGCGTGCTCTTCTTTTGGCGCAGCGCAGTTTTGAGGAGTGGCGACGGCGATCACTATCATGGCTATATTCGTCTCGTATTGGACCATCGTGTATCTTTATACGTGCGAATCGCTGTGATGGTCAGAATCAGAGATCCGATACAGGTTGTCGAGGGGGAAGCCGCCACCAGCCGTGTCGGCGGGCGATGCCCCGCGGGCCGCAACCCCGCCCGCCCTCAACTCAATCCATACATACGATCATGCACTCGTGCATACACTATTTACTTCACGTGCGGAGGCGGTCCTCGATGACCTGCTCAACTTTGCGTAAAGAAATTTCTTGTCCTCATATTAGCATCTACCTAGGTATGATCCAGCAGTCAACATTCTCGCGCTTGGCTTCGCGACAGTCGGCTTCTTGTTTCTCGCTGATAAATCCAGACGCGATAGCCTGCACGATGGCTCACTAGCATCTCACCCTGGCGCACCGATCTTGACTATCGGAGTGTGTATCATGCAAAGTCTTACTTTCGGCTGGGTCCTCTGGAATCGATAAATTCAGTGGACATGGGAAAAGAACTCACCGGTTCGAGGGTGATAAGACTCGCCAAATATCAGTGATCAAAGTGAGTGGTGTTAGAACGCACGTACTGAAACATCCGACAGGCTTTGCAAATTCTCACAATCCTTACTACGTACATATCACGAAGCAGTGATATATGAAAGCATCGATCCGATTGCGATATATGAATCAAGCACGATAGGAGGGCTTCATTTCTCAATTTGATGTTAACCTCCTGTCCGTCTATACCCTATAGCAAGACCACTTGTCCCATCCACCATCGCACCAAGCATATACGTTGCTGCCGTACTGCCTCGTACATGCTGCAGGAGTGTCGACATTCAAGCTTACACCGACGCCCCAGCCTTCAGCTGAGCATCGCCAGTCGTTGCATGAATTTCCGACCCGGCCAGCAGTCAAAGGCGCATCATACTGCTCACGGCAGGCTCGGGGCATGTCTATGCCGCCGAGTCTCTGGCCAGCTGCCGCTGCAGCAGCAGCTGGGGCGACGAGCGCTGCTGGGGCGCCAGATGCTGGCACGGCAAGGAGGCCGAAGCTGATGATGGCACCGAGAACTGTAGTGTGGGTGACCATATTGCTGACTGTACACGAGCGAGTTGAAGTCAGTAATCAGAGAGATAGGTTTCTATGTCTCAATTGGGGGAAAGGGAAGATCTCAGTACTGCAACATACCTAGGTATTCGATGAAGACTGATGCGAACAGGTAGATTGTGTCTGGGTCTTGAAATTTGTAGAATTGTTGCTGTGTGCTCGGTGAGTGGGTGACTATAGACGGGAGCTATTCAAGGTGAAGAAGGGTAGTTTTTATAGTAATTTGCTCCTGCTTCGACCATGCGCCTTCATGTAGGTCGTCCAGGCATATTGATTACTAGCCACGTCACAGCTGTCGACCAGATCATCTTACTTGTACGCTAGACGTTGGAAGGGAGGGGAAGGGGGTGGGTCTATAATCGTTTATGCTACTATGCGGCGCAGCTTGGTGTAGCCGAAGTAGTGATAAGCAGCCGCAAACATATGTGGTGGCAAGGCTCTGGATCTTAGAGCATCTTGTATTCCAGATTCGGACGTTATACATCTACCACTATGGGCCCGCATCACCTATTAACTCTTTCTAGTCCCCTTACACACCCCGCCCTGAACCCCATCCCTTCCATTAGTCCGCGCACATTCTAGCCTTCTGCTGCCAAACAGTGCACATACGGCAAATTGGCGTATGTCATCAGCCCTGCAAACTTTGTGTGGAAGTCTCGCTTACGTTCGCGTTCTTCAAATTTGGAAACGCGACAAACCGGAATGAAGGCTGCGAATGAAGACTCGCCAAGTGACCAATACATAACTCGTGAATATGGATGTGTTTTAGCATCCGAAAGACCTTGTATAGTCCTCCTTTGACACGGATCATGAAAGAGTGTAACGTAAAGCCATCAACTCGAAAGCGACATATCAACCACAAGTGACAGGAAGAACGTGAATTTACATATCTCCGTCTATGCCTTGTAGCAGCCCCAACTGAGCGCATCCCCATTGCACCGAGCATACACTCCAGCACCATATTGATTAACGCATGCCCGAGGAGTGTTGATACCCGTCTGGAAATTAGTGTACGCATCCCAGCACTTCCAACCGTTGCATGTGCTATCAAACCGAAGAGCTCTCCACTGAGGTCCGATCTCCTTTATACAATAGGCGTCCATGTTAATGCCCTAAATCATCGATGTCTGAAGTTAGTGTTTGTCTCACCAAGATTGCTTAAATGGGAGAATTTACCCCCAGGTATTCGCCTGCTGCTGCTGCGGCAGTGGCGGGTTCGGCAAGGGGTGCAGGAGCAGCAAGAGCTACAGGATCGGCAACTGCCGCTGGAGCGGCAACTGTTGGCGCAGCGAAGAGACCGAAGCTGATGATTGCGCGGAGAAGAGTGGTGTGAGTGACCATGTTGGCGGGTGCGTTCTAAGTGAAATTAGTCATCGTAAAGGTGAGCGTATATCATTGAAGTTTATATATCGTAGATCGTGCTATAGGAAGGGAGTCGTTACTATGACATACTTGATGAAGATCGCTGAGGACAGGCGTATGTTATCTAGCTCTTTCAATTTATGAAGGGTCTGTTGCGTGTTACAAGAATGAATGGGGATGGGGAAGAGCTGTTCGAGATGAAGAAGAGCCGTTCTTATAGCAATTACCTCATCTTTGAACATACGCTTCTATTAGGTCGTCAGGGCGTAAGGCGTATCCTTTGTCGCCCGGCTCGAAGTATTGGACTAGGCTATCCTCATCGCAGGCTAAAGCTCTGGGGCGTAAGTTGAAGTGACATAGACCGGCATGCGATGCAGTCTGGTGGAGTGCCGTTCATGCTGACATGCAGCATAGCTTAGAAAGACAGGTGAGGTTATCGACGTGCGGCCCGATCCTGCGAAGCAAGTCTGCTGGAGCTAGATGCACGTTGTAGTAGATACCTGGGTAGTATCGAGACAGTACTGCTTATCTATCTGCTCTGGGCTTTGGCGTTGACAGATTGTCGAGCCTGGACGGAGGTGAACTCAGATGGGGAAGGTCTGAGGTTAGGCCCTCCGTAGGATTCGAGTGCGGGGCCAGCCGAGCACGCAGGGACTTACATACTAAGCGTTGGATTGGTTCTGTTAAATAGACTTTTCTGTCGATGTTAGCGAAGGCTGGTGAAGGATGCTCACTACAGCATCGTTTAAGGTTTGTGGTTAGGAAGTGTGCCGCTTGCATGGGAAAACCCACCAATCGCTGCTTGGGTCGCGACCTTACAGTAAAGCTCTGAAAATCTTCATATGTCGCGCAATAGAAGCGGACAGACTCCAATGACAGGCCACGTTTGAAAATCATCGCTAGGTTTCCATGTGTATCTCGTAGTGATGCAGAACGAAAGAAACTCCACGATGAAATTCGCAGGAGAAATTGTGGTTTACCGCTCGGACTGAAATCATCCGTCAAACAAGCAGATACGCTTTCTTTTTGCTCAATAAGTCCGTGCTGCCTCATGTATTACTCGAACTGATTGCGGCTAGGATCAGGCGCAGCGTATCCTCTCCTGAAGAGGAAGCTCTGCAGCCTATCCTCAACTCTCGCAAACTACAATTCCGTTAGCCTTAAGGACATTATTTGCGACTCCGTCAAGTCATTATTTAGGAGGCGCTCTCTGAGCTGAAGCACTTACAAAGCCCCGTCCCTGTACTCCATCTCTGACCCATACTCCATATCCACCCATGAGGTTTGCCATCATGACGTCTGTAGACAGGCGGTCCCCTACTATTGCGATCTGATCTGGTCTGGTCACACCCGAGTCCGGATGCGCCATGAAGTAAGCCATGACCTCTTCCCTGCAGCCAGGCTTCTTGGTGGTATGTCGCAGCACTTTGACACCGGTGTTGGCCTCCAAGATATCGGCCTGGGTATAGTTCTTATCGGATGATGTGCCAGCTGTGTTAGACACTATCAAGAGTTTTGAGCCTGGATAAGCGCGTCGCAGGCGCTGGAAATGATCCTAAAATGGTGATCAGTAACGTCCTGGGCAGAAAGAGGCGCGTACCAGTACTTCGTATGGCTTGTGAATCTCATCGGTGTGTGGGATAGCAAAACAATTGTCTTTGTCGAGCACTACAGCTTGGATGTCTACCTCTTTCTGCTCGTTGGCCCCATCCTTCCTAAAGGCTTTCGACAGGGGAATGGGTAGATGATTGAAGGTTGAGACTGTATGCTGCGGGAGACAAAGAGTCGGATTCCAAACCAGCCGGAAGACGTTTAGGGTGCCCGAGATGTTCATTTGGGATGCAGCGTGGTATGATTGCGATGGTGGAACGGGATGGTGACGCGCTTGTTGCGCGCTGCTTTTCCAGAGATGTTGTTTCCGACGGTTCCGATATCGTTCCGAGCAACTCTCGAGACCGACCGCTGCAACCAGTACCAGCGAACTCCGCTTAGCCTGATTATACGTTTATTCAGATCGAAGATGCAGAGTGGTATCAGTGTTCAACAGAGTTCCGGCAGTTTTCGCTGCGCTACAGGGGAGCGTACGGCTATGTCATCGCGAGGAGAGAATCTGGTATCGTAGACACGAGGAATACATATCACAGTATATGATAACGTGCCTGTATGGGATGGACGCAACTTGATAGGGTGTAGCTTGAACAGACATCGAGTTCTTGATGAGGAGCAGGCAGCAGAGAGCGATGGCATGATGACTAAGACATGGTCCAAGCTCAACCTCAACTTTCTGTAGACAGCGATATTAGCACCGCGCACGCGCTCTGCACCCACGACATCCAAGACTGCGCCGTGCACTGCTACCGAAGACCCCTGCGTACCGAGAAGGCGACGAACCCCACGAGATACAATCGCGCCCCGAGTGCGTTTTGCGACCACGACACGAAGTCTTCACTTGTTGCGATCTATCACCATCCTACGGCTTCGAACGCGCCAAGGACTCAGCTAGTAATACCAGTCAATTTGGCCGAGAATCAATACAAGAAAAATGACGAGCACTATCGGTATTCCAATCAAGCTCCTCAACGAGGCAGCAGTACGTTCACCGCCAATCACTCTACCAGTACTTGAGCCTGCGCTAACAGGTCTCAGGGTCACATTGTCACGCTCGAGATCACATCTGGCGAAGTCTACCGCGGCAAGCTGATTGAAGGTATGTCCCCATACATCTATTAGCTCTTAGGCGTTCTGCTAACCAGCTACAGCCGAGGACAACATGAACGTACAGCTGAAAGACATTACTGTAACCGCCCGCGACGGCCGCGTCTCACATCTCGAACAAGTGTACATCCGAGGAAGTCATGTGCGGTACTTCATCGTCCCAGACATGTTGAGGTAAGATCCAATGCCTTATTGGAAGGAGACAGGCACTGACAGGTGACAGGAACGCACCCATGTTCCGATCGAGAGGCACAAGGGGCCGCGGTGTTGGTCTTGCTCGTGGAAGGGCCACAGTCAACAGGGCTAGGGCCAGCACCCGCGGCGGCGGTCGCTGAACAAGCTGAAAATTACGGGCGAAAAGACAACACAAGCAGAGAGCATGCTACCGGAAGCGCAGCAGCAGCGAGGACGCGCCATTTGGTGCGTGGACTAGACAATGGAGGGAAGGACAGGTATGCAACCAGATCGTTCTTGCTGGACATACGCTGAAAATTGGGATAGCCACAAATTTGATGATACCTTTGAATGGGATGAATGCACATTTTCACATCACCAAGAGTAGCCCGTGCTGAAAGAATGAACGGCGGCATTTGAAGTGAAAACGCAACCGGGCGTAGTCGCGAATGTCTGATAGTCCCTGCGGCAGGCGGGCGCCTACCCCACGTCCAAAGGCGAGACCCCCGAGAACTCCGCAACTCGACACTTTTTCAACCAACACAACATGGACATGGAGATCAAGAACCCACGGCGCATCCTCGCTATCGGTGCGCCGGGAGCAGGTGTACTCCCACTGCTGAAGGGTACTTGATACACCCTCTGCATTACGCGCATCTACTGACTTGGCTTAGAACTCACAGGGTCCGCCCCAGAGCAAACCTCCGAAACCACGGCCGGCCTTACCCACGAATGGCGTCTTGAGACCAAATACTACACCGCGAATCTTCCCATATGGGTCGATGAGCTCAGCAAAGTCGCGGAATGGCGCACCGAATTCACCAAGCCCGAAGCTCGTGAGGTCGTCACTGCGCTCGGTGCGTGGATATACTGCTTCAAGAAGCCAGTCGAAGCAAAGGATTTAGAAGTAATCAAAGAGACCATGCAGGCCGTTTCCGATGTCATCGAGCGTGCCTGTGGATACGGTGGTGACATGGTGTGTTTGGCTGTCGCGATGCCCCAATCCACAACACCTTACCTTGAGAAAAGCAATGAAGACTGGGAAGAACTGGCCATGGACTACGGCTTCGAATACGTCGACTCAGAGAAGAAGGGCAAGAATGAGTTTGGCGAGGCGACAGGAATACATAGAGTGCGGGAAGCGCTTGAGGCTGGGGAATGGGAAAGCATGGCGGGTTTGGGCTTGGGCGAGGATGACGACGGCTTTGAAGGCAGCTTCGCGGCAGAAGAGGCGGAGATGAACATGGAGCTGTTCGGCATGAAAGGCGCACTAGCCGGGTTCGACGACGATGAAGGTCAGGAACCTGGAGACAAAGAAGTCGAAGACCTGGAGGTCATGATGCAAAAGATGGTTGCGATCAAGGAAATGGGCGAGGGCATGGAAGAGGCCGAGCGAAAACGTTTCGCTGCAAAGGCAGTGAACGACCTGCTGAAAGATCTATGATACGGACATATCTGGACTGCCACAGACACTGCCGAGCACTATCGTAAATGCCTACCTACCAGCGACTATTTCAACTCTTCACCCCGAAACACAACAAAAACGGGAAATCCATCTCTCTCGCCGGCTTCCCATCCTCAGCATCAACCTCCTTCCGCAGAACAAAGGCTTCGTCAACCCTCACCTCATTAAACCCTGTCCCTAACAATAACTCTTCCATCTCGCTTTTCTTAATCCCATGCCTCTCTACACCCGGCCTCTTACTTATCGGATGAAACGGTACGGCCTCCGGTCCAAAGTCCTCATAATCCGTTAACGCGACCACACCTCCGGGTTTCAGACACTTGTGCATAGTCGCTAGGATCTCCGCCATCGAAGGGATATGATGCAGCGTCAGGTGGGAAACCACAAGATCGAATCGATACGAATAAGGTGGCGATGAAGCTTCTCCGCGATGGGTGGCAAGGAGCGCTGCTGCGCTTTGCAGCTCATGCGAGTCCGGGTTCGTTAGGAAGTGGTTTACTGAACAGAGGTTTGGGTGGTCTGTTGGAAGATCCGCAAGCTTGGTGTCGAAGGCGCTTATCATGCCATCTGCTGTGTCGACGCCGATGAGGCTGCGTACGTGTGGAGCTAGCATGAAGGAAAGGAGGCCAGTTCCGCAACCGATTTCTAGTACATCGAGATCTGTGATGCTCGTCAGTTCAAGAGCGTAGTGGGATGGCGGCATGATAATACGTTTGCTGCTTCCATCTTTGAATGCAGGCACGTAGCGCTTGATGGCCTCGAGTGCTTTTGAAGTTGACTCTACATGCTTCTCATTCGAATCCCATTCTAGTGCTTCCTTGCTGAAGCGCGCGTTGTTGATCTCTTGACTTGTCGTCATGACGTTGGTGATGTGAAAGTTAAAGGTTACGTGCTTTCGAGAAAGGACCGAAAAGTACTAGTAGCAGTCGTGCATGAACAGTTGTAAAGCAATGCTGAGGCGTGTCGTGATTGATACGAATGTACTTGTGCATACGTAGAATGCTGTGCGGGGTTTGCGGCATGATGCGGGGCGCTTCCGTCCTGGGGATGACCGACAGTCGCGACTTCCTGTAATCGTGTCGCGGGACACAAACAATCAATATCCGCCTTATTCCCCCCGCATCCTTGTAGAACTTTCCGATTCGCTAACTGCAGTCCCATCACTGCAAAACCAGCAGCCGGGATTCTCGAGAGCTCGGCCTTGACGTGGGAGAGGCTGTGCAGCGATGCCTTCCTCGGGCGATTGCACTGGCTGCTTTTCAGCCAATTCTTTACTTCCCCGCTCTTTCCTCTCACCTCTCCTCAGTATCTCAGATATACGTACCGCGTGAAGATAACAGGGATATCGGTGTCTAAGCCTCTTCACACTAAGATGATCAAATGAGAAACTTCAGCTTGTTGCGATACAGCACCAGTACCATCACACGAAAGAGCTTGGGAAGAGATGGCAGCCTTGGGCTACACACAGCTGGATCGAAGCAAAAGGGCTATTCGTCTCCTCACGGTAGCGCCTGGTGGCCCCGACGATCAGATTCAGTGCCAACTCACGCATGCTGATCTCAACGAGCGACCTTCGTTTATCGCCTTATCGTATACATGGGATCAAGGCGGCGGACAAGACAAAATCCAATGCTGCGGGCACGTTGTCCAGGTCGGCAAGAATCTATGTAACTTCCTCCATCGCTTCCAAGTTTAGGATAAAGGTCGCGGAAGTTAGCTATAGATTAATGCGTTGTGTATATATTATATGCGATATGCAGATAACTGTTAGTTAACTGATATAGAAAGGTATCAACTAGCACAATATTCACGAGCGCAATTATTAAGTCGGCCAAATGCGCGCGTTGTTCTCCACCGCCGCATCCACCATTGCATGGTTAGGCGAATCGGATGGCAACTCTGATCTAGTCTACTACGCCATACTATTATCCGCTCCACGACAGTCCCTTGGCCTTAACAATTTTGGGACACGCAGAGCGCTGAGAGATCTTCTGAATCGAAAGTACTGGTCACGCGTTTGGGTCATACAAGAATTCCTTTTGCCTGTGAAGTTGGATGTGTGGTGGGGCAGATGCCGTGTCAAAGCCAGCGACCTACATCAGCTTGTTTGGGCTATGACTGGATTCTCCTCGCGTAGCAAACCGCAAGACTATCACGTATGGAACACGCCTGGGAGGGTTCTGTTGCTTTACAGGACGAACTATCAAACAATGTGTCGTTTCGAAAAACACGACTACTGTAAGGAATTTGCGGACGCAATGACACTACAGTCCCTATTACGATCTTTTTCCTCATCTCAGTGCACGCTTATCCACGACAGAGTGTACGCTCTACTAGGAATAGCAAGCGATGTCATATATTCATCTAACCCAATTTCACCGGACTACACCAAATCGCCCACGGAGCTGTCCATGGACGTGCTACGGAGCTAGTACAGAAATCAAATTCCTGGAGTTAAACGTGCATAGATCTCGATCGAACTACTTTGTAGTGTGCTTGGATTAACCCGTCGGGAGATTGAACAATCTGCTTTCGTGAGAGCTCGGAAGATCGAACGAGAAACTCGCGCTCTGGACCTCAGTCATCACTCCGCCCTATGTTTCGATTGGGTCTCGCCCGTTCCCTTGCCGGAAATAAGCACGCCTCGTTCCAAGCATCACTTCTACAACATCGTCAGACTAATGGAAAGGGAGCCGGGTTGTTTGACGGCACTACAGGATTACCTCGATTACTCCAAGCAGCGTAAGCCACTGGGACAACGTCCCAAATGGGAATCCATCTCGATGTTGCTTGGCAAGGATATGTCCACCGTTGGCCGGGCTGATATTCGACCCTGGACCAACATGTCTGGGTTGACGATGGTACCATTCGATGATCACAGAGAAAAATGCGCTACAGATCAATCTTACGATTATCTGACCGAGTCTATATGCGAACAGTTTTACAACAGCACGTGGATACCATTCTTCGAAACAACAGTGATGGGATTCATGAGAAGAGCTATCAATAGACCCTGTGACACGGGACACGGACCCTGTAAAAGCCATTGTCCAATTGTTGCATCTTATCGCTGGTTTGGAAGATATGGGTCTGCAATAGTGTGGGAATGCCCTGGAAATCCAGTTCATGAAGTTGATGCGTCTTGCGATACTAGTTTGCAAGACTGGTGTGTAACAGGTACCGCTTTCATTTGTAAGTGGGAGGCAGATCGATCTCACCATTGAAGCATGCGATCCTTCGCACATACACCTTAGGATTTAGCATAGTGGAGACTTGATGGGAAGACAAGATTGTTAGTGGACAGGTACGGTAAGGAAGCAAAACACACCGTCTCATGACTGTGCGCCAAAGCTGATTGAATATGGTGAAACTTCAAACCATCACTCAAGTATCGTTCACACACTCGTCTCTCTTCAAATTAATCATAATCCCCAGCAAACCCACGCCCACTCCTCCCAAAAAGCGCTTCAATCGCCGCCGTAGCCTGCAACTGCGCATGCGTCTCCTTAACCTTCTCCTTCTCCCGTTCCAACCTCCTC